TAATTGATTAATATATTTGTTGACATTTCAATAATTGACTATTCCGATGAATTCTTTCAGCCCAAGATAAAAATACATGATATGGGTAAATGGAGTAACTATACAATACATTTATTTGGTGTCCCTTGAATCTATTACTTTGCTTTGTTTCATGATACAGAGAGAATATTTAAAAGATAAGTGTGGGTTTTAGCTCTACACAATTGTATATCTTCAAAAGAAAAAACAGGATAAATCCACATATAACAGACACATTTAGACTATATTTTGTTAATTAGGCACAGATTTACTTCTGTCTTTCAAATGCAAACCTTTTCAAAGTGAAAAAAAAGTAATAATTAAAGTTGAAATCAAACCTACGCCCTTGCTAACAACATAAACTATTTTAAAAATCATCTAAAAAACTGACTCAAACCAGATCAGTCATGTCAGCATTAGTTGAATGTCTTCCATGAACAAACCAGGCTGCCACTTTTTTACATATGTCGCTCTAAAAAAAAAACAAAAATCTAATTATGAAAAGCAGTGATGTGTTTCTGTGAAAGGAATAACTTTGTGGGAGCATCTGAACAAAGAAAGCAAAACATCACAATCAATAAATTTCAGAGGACAATAAAAGCTGCTAAGCTGAGTGAAGTTGCCCCCCCACCTTCTTCAAATCAGACAAAATTAGTGTCAAACATTTGTGCAGCAAAAAATTTCGTTTGTGCCGCTATCGTTTTAAAGATATAAAGAAATATTTCTAGAGGTCATCAAAGGTCAACCAGCCCCCCCACCTTCTTCAAATCAGACGAAATAGGTGTCAATTAACTCAGCTCCGTTTGTGCGGCAAAAATTTTCATTTGTGCTGCTTTGGATTTGAAGATTTGAAGAAAGTGGGGGGGCTGGTTGACCTCTGATGACCTCTAGAAACATTTCTTTATATCTTAAAATGAAAGCGGCACAAACGAAAATTTTTGCTGCACAAACATTTGACACCAATTTTGTCCAATTCTAATAAGGTGGGGGGGCTGGTTGACCTTTTGACCTTTACATTTTCATTAATATCTTCAAATCCAAAGCAGCACAAACGAAAATCTTTGCTGCACAAACAGAACACAAACATTTGACACTAATTTTGTCTGATTTGAAGAAGGTGGGGGGGGCAACTTCACTCAGGTTAAAAGCTGCTAAGCTGAGTTAATCTGTTATTCCTAACTCTAATATGAATCCTGTGTATTACTTTTATGTTTGCTTTGTAGAAAAAAAACCAAAACTAAAATGTGCATTTCAGCTGTCAAGGAAAGATATTTTATTTTCATATCTTTTCTTTTTTTTTTTCTTTGTTAGATATGTTTTACCTAGGGCCCCAAATTTTATAAATCCACCCCTGTTATTAATGTATTGCTTTGGGTAAAAGGGGAAAATATAAGTTGTTTGAATACAACAAATAAAATAAATATAATTGATCAATTATTTTGGTGTGATTCATGCAAAATCAAATTAAATTACAAATATTTCAAAACAAAACCCAGAAGTGAGGAAAAACCTTTTCACATGCCTCCAAAAGTCTGAATGGGTGGTTGGCATGGAAACCTGACTGGAAGAGATCAAAGCAGCTGGTCTTTGTTAAGAAGGAATCAAAAGTTCTTTTCAATAATATTTCTGCTGAAGAGCAGGTTTGAGATGGGTCTGTAGTTCTGCAGGATTCATTTTTCGAAGCGTCTCTTTTTCAGCAATGGTTTGATGATTGCTGTTTTTAAGGCTCAGGGGAAAAAACCCAACATGAGGGACGAGTTTATGATTTGAATCAAATCAGACTCTAAAACTGGTAAAACCTTCTTAATTAAACTTGAGAGTAAAACATCAACACAGCAGGAAGAAGAGCTTGGATGCTGAATCATTTCTTCTAAATTTTGGCTCAGAGCCTTTGCACTGCTTAGTTGCCCCTAGCGATGACAGCTTTTCATGTGTGATTCATGTAAACATGATAGAGAAACCAAATACTTCAAAGCAGAAGCTAGAATTGAGGCAATGTTTTTCAAATGTCGCCAAAAATCTGAATGTGACAAAAAAAAAAAAAGAAATGAGATGACATTAACATTTTTGTAATGCAGCTTTGATTTTTAATGAAGGAATATCATCGACATCATAGTTATTCAACAGGAAATCATCAGCCTGAGAACAAATGAACACAAGATGCCTACTGTGACAGCTGAAGTGGTTTGCTTCATCAGCAATAGTTATAACATGCTGACCATTTTTCCCACAGACACAGCAGGTCATTCTGCAGGTGGCTTGAGTATATATTCAGCCGGACACAACATTGTCTGCCAAGATGAATAACCTTATTAGTGAGGATGTGGATGGTTTCAGTAATTTTAGTCTCGAAGCTGCAGACCAACTTGATCATGACCTCCTTAAACTGCTCCAGCCTCGCCTCAACCTTCTTAATCAGTTTAGCTTTCAAGTAAAAGCCACGTTTACGCCAAGAATTTAAACGTCTATGCCAATAACCGTGACAACGGTGACTATGACAAGGACGATGGTTGGGAGTATCCAGGTGGGTGAAGCATTGATCCAGAAGCTCATGCAGCTCCTGGATCGTGTCCAGCACGGTTCTCTTCAAGCCTACGGGATCCAGGCATATAATGTAGTTGGCGGCGTTCCTCCTCAGCTCCTCCAGCTTGGAGCATATTTTACGGAACAGCTCCTCGAACTGCAGGTGGAAGTCAGCGTTCAGGCAGCGCAGAATTTCCTCCAGGTCGTGCTTCAGCTGATCTATCTCTGTGCAGAACGTAGACTGGAAATGGCTGATCCACACCTCGATGTGAACCCGCACCCTATAGTAGAAGCAGCGGACGATGGCGTAGCTCTGTGTGATGAGGGAGCTGCAGAGATGCAGACAGAACCTTGATTAACACCTTGTTCTCAGGTTTTAATTAAACATTCATTCAGCTAACTTTCATCAGACATATTCCACTGTGTTAATCATCCTTCTCAACATCAGTTAATAAACTCCAGGCTGTAATTAGGCACCAAATGGAAGAAATCTGCTTTATTCAGAATGATAAACAGTTTATATTCCGAACAAAGAAGCATGTGAAGGTTAGTTAGAAATACAAACACCTTCTGACCTGGAAGTGAAAGTTAAGATTCCATAGTTTAGCAATAATGACATTAAATCAGTGCATTCTTTCTCTGCCTTATTCTCAGCAGAAACACATCCAGCTTTGATGCTGTGGAGAAACGCTTCAGCTCTCCTCTTACCACACATGCTGTCCTGCAGGGCTCTGTTTGATCTTCAGCAGACAGTCTGCTGAGGTCCCTGTAGCGGCGCTAACAAAACTCCAGAAAGCCTCATACATGAATTCCCACTGGCACTGGGGTAAAGACGGTTCAAGGTGTCCAGCATCACAACCTGCAGAGAAAACAGTTAAAGTCATTTTCTTTCTAATGACTTTTTATTTTTTTAACCAGAGGATCAAGATTCTCAAACCTGTGAGGAAGACGAGGAAGAGGGCGACGAGGACCTTCATGGCAGCTCTCAAAGAACCCCAGAGTTTGCTCTTTCAGACCAGGTTGTTGCAGAGAAGGTGCTGTAGAGGAGCAGGAGTCCTACCTGTTGGTCAGTCAGCTGGCTGATGGAGGCTGGAAGTGTCCTCCTCACTATTTATAGGCAGCAGAGATGAACGGAGGAGATGCTGAGCTCAGTGCTGTCACTGCGTAACGCAAAGGCGGGACATCAGGATGTACATCTTCAGGGACATCATGTTAAGCTTTCAGCTTGATATAAACTTGCTGATGTTTTGTTCATGGGAGCATTTGTCTCTGTCCATGAAGCACTTTGTGGAATATTAGTAGGAAGATAGTGAAGAGTCACTGTGTCACGATTTGGTTGTTTTGTTGGAAAAAAATGGTTTCGATGACAAATCTTTATAAAGTGTAATTAAAGGTTGTTGAAGGTAAATGTTATAAGGTTATTTTAACATTATTCAATACAGGAAATAACTGACAGTAAACAATCATAACTTATTGGCTGATATCAACCCCAAGGTTTTATAGATAAGCTTTTATCATTTTAGAAGAAAATCTCAAAAAGCTTCGGCTGACAAGCCTTCAACTAATATTAAATAGAAATGTAGAAATAAAACTGCACTGCAAACTTCATTTTCCTTTGAATATTATTTTATTCAATAATCTGCTGTTTACAGAAATGTTTTGTGTCCTCCAAACAAGTCATAGATAACTTCACTTCATAAATGCGGTTAGACTTGGTCTCCAAATGCCAAACGGTGAACTTTTTTAGTGGTAAAGTCATTTATGATGTCTTTAAAATCTAATTTCTTGGCAAGTCACAGGTAGAGATAGGAAAATATAAGGCAGTTCTGCCATTTCCAAAGTCTATGTTTGTGTGCACGGTTTCTTTAATGCCCTGGAAATCTTTCTTAAGGCTTTCTGTATTTTATGTTGGACATTTTCATCCCATCGTTTGAATTTACTAAACTAGTTGATCTTTTCTGTACTTCATAGTAGAACAGGAAGCACACAGTGTCATGATCTGGCCTGTTTGCTCTCC